TGATGAATCCAGTAACACAGAAGGAGATTTTGGGTCAGTCAGTGCTTCCTGTTCACCTAAATTATAAACTATTTTACTTCTGCCTTTCCTTTTTACTCAAACAAATAGTCAGTGTGACACCAAAGGGAATAAATAACATTCTGGGCTCTGTTGCCATTGTCCTGCAGCCTCCAGACTCTAAGCAGACTGCCAGGCATCAGGGCACCTCTCATCCTGTGAGGCACAAAATCTTCCATAATTCCTTGGGAAACCTTATTAATTCTTCTTGTTTTCTTTAGCCTCCAAATAAAGGAATTCCACAACACAAGTGCATGTTGTTTTGGACTACCTGGTTTGGGAGGAAGGTGAATATGAAAGCAAAACACAAGTGTTGTGGAAGGAGAAACCACAGTAGGGAATGGAGGGATGGAAGACTAGATTGGGTAGAGGTATGGAGAGCATAAGGCAGAGCAAAGAGAGACTGACACAGGGAATAAAAAGGGAAACTGCACACAGCCAAACAGAACCCTCAGAAAGGCAGGGAAAATGGTGCCATGCCTTTCAGGAGGGTTGTATGTATGAACAGGGCAGAAGAAACTCAACACATCCCCACCTGCTGGCATTTACCCTCCTGGTTGTCAGTTCTCTTTTGTCTACTTCACATTACTTGATAGAATGGGCAAATGTATGTTTTTTTTCACTCTGAAGCATTTTTTAAACAATTTTTCTTTTCCTTTTTGTTTTCCTTTTTTTTCTTTTTCAGTAATTCATAGAGAGATACTGAATATAAATATGTGGAAAAATATTCACCATGTCCTCCTGGCCACATTCCCTTCAGCCTCTTCTAAAACATTCCAAAGTTATAGCAAAGCAGAAGAAATGCCTCGGTGGGCATAACTACATGGCACAGCCTGTGGTCAGGACACCTTACCTGCTCTGGTGGAACTCCCATCTCGGCTAGGGCTGACTCAAAGAACCTTTTTGCTGGTTTTCCCACTACCTCAGCTTGAACATCACAAGCATACTGGGAAAAAGGAAGAGAGACACAAAAAATGGTGATCAGAAAAGGATTTGTGCAACTCCATAACTCCAGTCAACTATATAAATAGTGATTGTTGATTTTGGCCTTAAATAACAATGGATTAGTGGATGAAGGTGAATATCAGAAAGTTTGGGTAACAGAAGTGCTTAATGGTCTCTAGCAAGGAACAAAGTTAGAGAACATCAGAGGTTACAAACCTTTTACATTCTCCCTCATGGGAATGGGGACTGGGCCCCTCAGTTCAGGAGGAACATTGAGGTGCTGGAGCAGGTCCAGAGAAGAGCAGTGAGGCTGGTGAAGGGACTGGAGCACAAGTGCCATGAGGAGAGGCTGAGGGAGCTGGGGGTGTTCAGCCTGGAGAAGAGGAGGCTCAGGGGAGACCTTCTCACCCTCTGCAACTCCCTGACAAGAGGTTGGAGTCAGGTGGGGGTTGGTCTCTTCTCCCAGGCAACCAGCAGCAGGACAAGAGGGCATAGACTCAAGCTCTGCCAGGGGAGGGGTAGGTTGGATATTAGGAAGAGATTTTTCACTGAGAGAGTGATCAGACATTGGAATGGGCTGCCCAGAGAGGTGGTGGATTCACCATCCTTGGAGGTTTTCAAGCTGAGACTGGATGTGGCACTTAGTGCCATGGTCTAGTGACCACAGTAGGGTTGGACTCGATGATCTTGGAGGTCTCTTCCAACCCAGTTGATTCTATGAGTTCAGACTCAGTTCCCATATCTCTCATTGTTTTAAGAGCATCACTCTTAAAGAAAAACAAATATCCTTTAAATGAAGATATCAACAATACTGGAGGGCCTTAAAATATGTAGTGGGTTTCTTCAACTACACGGCATATTTCTAATGATTCAAATGACCAGCAGATTTGCAGTGTTTTATTTTGCTGCAAGTAAATACCAGTATTATGCTGAAACAGTTGTTTTTAGCTTGTTCCTAGACAAGTAGAAGCCTGAACTGACCTGGGAGGCAAAGGCTCTCCCCAAAAATCACATGGATACAAGTGAATGTGCTGCAGGCAAATATTATACTCACTATGTTCTGTGTTTGTATATTGCCCTATTTTGTATATTTTGCATTTTATTTTGTCTTTTTAACCTTGTCATATTTTGTACGTGTTATTCGTGTTATCTTGCTTTATTCTCTGCATTCACTGTTATTTTTTTCTCTCTCTCCACAAGACTATAAAAGGGAGAATAACATTTCTCTCCTTCTCTCACCCTTAAGTTGGCTTATCTCTTGGGTTCCAGTTCTGCACTGACTTAATCAGGCTTAAGAGTAGGATTGTACTTAAGTCTCTTGCTGAATAAGGTCCTTTTGCTTCAAACTGCTAAAGGGCAAGGGCTGTGTCCACAACAACACCACACCAAGCATAAAATGGACCTTCAGGTTTTCTTGGGTATCTTTCAGACAACATTCCACACTTTGCTTTCCAGACTCCTCCTTTCAAGGGCCTCACTTCCAATAAAGGTACCACAATGGTAAAAGTTCACATTGGAAGTAAAATAAAGAAAGAAAATGAACAAAGGTAGAAGACAAATGAATTCACCCATCTTTGAATGCAGCAGATGAGCTCCAGTCTGTGGGAACTCCCTCCACCAAGGTGAATAATTACAGAAGATGAGCCATATTTACACCAGTTACTCTTTTAACAAGGTGCACCGAGTGAGTAAGCACAATTCAAGCTATAAAATACCTCTAATGCCTTCATATATGCTCCAACATCAAGTTTCAGGCCATCGGTTTCTTTATAGTAGCGTCTGGAAATGAAAGTGATAAAGTTCCCATGAAATGAAAACGTTGGCAGTTAAATACAAAGAAACCACATTTTATTGTTTCTGTGCCTTTATAGATGACCATATGGCTTCAACAAAAAGTCAAGTAATCAGAAACTCTGGAGCCTTAATTGAACACCCAGAACTAAGGAAAGGACAGGCTCAGTACCATGCAGTGCTCGGGGAAAGGATCCCAGGCCAGATGCCCATCTGGCATCTGGGACACAACTCCATGGTTCAAAGGGATTTCAGTGAGCTTCTATCAGGGATGGACTTGGCATGTGTTTTGTTGCACAGTGACACAGACCCCCTGGCAGATAAAAGACGAGGGATGGCACCAACCAGCAGCTGTGACACCTTCAGGACATCTGGAAGGAGACCCAACAGTTGACTATCATCACCTGTCACCAGCCTCCCACATGAGGAAAGCCAGGGCACTGTTTATTGGCACTAGAAAAGCCCTCCAAGCTAAATTTTGTTCCCTCTAAACATGTCCCTATTGCCATGAAGCTCATGAAATTAGATAGCGTCATCAAAATGTTTTTCTGGAATAGCAATTCACATTAATGCAGGTCTTCCAAGCTCTCCTACCCAGAGCAAAACAGGTTTCTATAGAACAGGGAAAAGAGGTAGGATGAGCAGTCAGTTAAGATTTTATGCCTTATCCTTCTGCCATTTTCGATTATTCAGCATAGCCTTCCTTTAAAATGACCACTTGACCTTTGCTAGAACAGCCATTAACCTTCCATAGTCTAGCGTAAACAGCTTAATTTTCTGACAGTGGCATGACAGAAGAAATTACAAAGCCAATTCCCACTCTCAGCCCAAAACAGATGCTAAATGTAAATCACTCCATTTTCAGGAGGAGGGCATTCTGCTTCAGTGACTCTGACACTTTGGTTTTTCTATGGAACAAACTAAAACTTCAACCAAAATCAACCTCCTTGCCCAAGGCAGGGACTTTGCTAATGTCCACCCAACTGTGCTGATTCTGCAGGTTAAAAATGAAGCTGGTTTGGGGCTGGGGTTTGTATATGGCCCTTTGCATCAACAAGGCTTCTCCAGTCAGGTGAATGATTCCTCCAGTTTATAATCTCCCTATTTGAGTCAGAGAACTTAGCAGAGAACTTGCATTTGTATTACCTAAGTGATCAACCATTAAAGATATATTCTAATGTGGAAAACTGAGCTCTAAATATCCACAAATCTGTATTTTTACATGCAAAATAGTATCTGAAAAAGCAACACCAGGTCTGTTATAGAGCTGTTTTTATGCATGAATGACCAAATAAACTCTTTCACAAGCACAGGGTACAAATGTATTTTTGCATTCAACAATCCTTCAACAAAGGTTGATTCTACCTCGGTTATTTCGTATTTCAACATTTTCTCCTTATCCTGCTGAGGAACAGTAAGGATTTTTCACCCATGTTGTAGGATTAGAGTGTGAGTGTCAGGTGAGGCAACACAAGGAATTTAACTACTCCTTCCCACTGATAAATTCTACCCAGCTGGATCAATAACCCACAGACTAAGAAGGGTTTTCATGCCCATTACATTCTATTGAACCACTGAGAACAGTTGTCACTAGTTTCCCCAAGCTGAACATGCACAGTCTTTTTTAAGTCCATACATAGCACAACAGATAAGAATAACTCCTTCAAGGCTGTTGGGATTTGTCATTATTCAGCATCTTAATAACCTCCTGTTCAAAATCTCAGAGTACATCTAACCGAATCGTTTTTAGGAAAGCATTCGAACTCCCTGACTGGATTTGTCCTGCATGTCAAAGCAAGAGGTCAAAATTTACCTTTAATTTGGTATTAATGGGCAGAGAGTAATTAAAAAATGTTATTTGATAGTCTACCAAAAGAATTGATCTGTCACTTCAAAAGCACCAAAAGCATCAAGGTGCATCACAAACCCACACCAAGCATGGCCTGTTGGATTTTTGGATTTCTTTCACTGTTAAAAATCATTTATATTCAGTTCAGACAGGACCACATGGCTACAGGCAGCAGCTAAACCAACAGTTCTCACCTCCAAGATCTTGTAGGAGCAAAGACAAAATGTCAAACAGTGCCTAAAATCCTACTGACCTCCTGCAATACTCAGTCCTTTGGGAGCTACACACATCAAAATCCAAACTCTCCATGATTTCTGTGGTTTTTAACAGGCTTTCTTAAAGCAACAGAAGTCCTCTCCATTGACAGGTACCTGAGCAGATCAGCCTCTCAGCCCAGAGAGATTAACTGCTTACAAGTTGGTACTGTGAATGCTCACACCAATTCCTGCCCTCCACTAGGTACAAAGACACTGGGGGAAGTTAAAAAATGCAGAGACTTGAGATAGAAACAGAGCTTAACTCACCCTCTTCCAAGGGAAATCAAAACAGGCTTCTCCATCCCAATCAAAACTCGGAAAGCTTCATTGAGGTTTGCATAGGTGAAGCTTTCAGCTGCATCTCCAAGGACCACACAGTTTGGGTTTGTTTTGTCAACCTCAGCAAATTCAGGGACAAGATCTACAGAAGGAGGACAAATGAAATTCACAAATCCCTTAGATGTCATTGGAACCGATGGGTTTTCCCCAGATTCACATTTCCCTTCACTCATGACACAACTCATTAAGACAATAAACCCAAGTATGAATGACGTGCTCGTCAGACCCCTCTGTTCCTGAGTGGATTCTACTATTCATCTGCCCTACAAGGAGAGCAAAATAAACCATTTCCTGTCCCCCATGTGTCCCAGCATCTCCTGCAGGGCTGTCCCAAGCACAAGCACAACAGGTAAGTCCCTCAAGACTGTTGGGATGAGTCATTATTCAACACCTTAATAACCTCCTGTTATTATCTAACCGAACTGTTTCCAGGAAAACATTCAAACTCCCTGACTGGATTTTAAAGAAACCATTTCCTGTCCCCCATGTGTCCCAGCATGTCCTGCAGGGCTGTCCCACCATCGTGCACGAGCAGGTGAGGTCTCAGGCCGCGCTCCTTCAGGATGCGGCAGGCTGCGGGCGCCGGGGCCGTGACCTCGGACACGTTGATGTCAAAGCCCATTCCCTGCAGCTTCTTCACAAAGTTCTCCCGAGTTGCTTGGGTTTCATTAGTGCAGAACCTCAGCTTCAGGCCAGATGCTTTGATCCTGGTGAGGAAAAGCAGCAGAGAGGTTAACTAGATAGATAATGAGCTAACAAGTCAGTTTTGTTGACCTACACATAACTCAGATAATCACAAAAAAAATGCAAGGATGATAAGAAGGATATGGAACAACTGGAGCAAGTCCAGAGGAGGTCTCAAAGCTGATAAGAGGAGTGGGACATCTCCCCTATGAAGACAGGCTGAGGAAGTTGGGGTTGTACAGCCTGGAGAAGAGAAGGTTGTGTGGAGACCTCAGAGCAACCTGCAGGAGCTGAAGGGGCTCCAGAGAAGCTGCAGAGGGACTCTGTGTTAGGTACTGCAGTAAGAGGACAAGGGGTGACAGATTCAAATTGAAGGAGAGGAAATCTAGGCTAGATGTTAGAAAGAAGTTTTTTCCCATGAGGGTGGTAAGACACTGTCCCAGGCTGCCCAGGGAAGCTGTGGCTGCCCCAACCCTGGCAGTGTTCACAGCCAGGTTGGATAAGCCTTGAGTAACCTGCTCTGGTGGGAGGTGTCCCTGCCCAGGGCAGGGGGGTTGGACTGAATGATCTCTGAGCTCCATTCCAACCCTTTCACATACCCCTCAAGGGTCCCTTCTAACTCTGATTATTCTGTGATTCTGCTAGAAAAGTCCCTGCACTGATTCGGCAGACAACAAAACATGCTGAGTTCGTTTTCTAGGGAAATGATCCCAATTGGTTGGTGCAAACACCAAAACCAACTCGAGGTAACACATCTGATGACAAACTTTCCATCAAAGGATTCTAGGAAATCTGGTCCTGACTCAGAGAGTCCCTTCTGCTCATTGGAACTGCACACCAGTGTCTTCTTTAATAACACTGGTGATTCATTTCTTTCTTATTATTTGTCTTTCCTAATCATAGATATGTGAATTATCAATTACACTTAGTGGTTAATTGCCCTTCATAAAGATAGCTTTTCTATTTTAAATTAGGCAGTTAATATATTGTAACTAATAGCATCCACTTGTACATTATAAATATATCTTCATTGATTGGAGCAGTGAATGTGAGATTCACTCACAAGTTAATGAAGCAATTGAGTGAAGAAGTGCAGGGTGTACCCAGGGAATAATTATTGTTAATGAATTATGATGTGACCTTCTCAGAACAATGAGCAATTGGTGTGACAGTGGGATGACAGTATTCCACATCTGTTATTCGAGACACGGTTTCAGCTGTAGATGAAAAGCAAAGCAGTGTGATTTGGATATAAAACAAACTTCAGTAGACTGTGCCATGGTTTAAAAAAATCTTGTTCTGAATGCAAAGCTTATCTGCCCACTCTTAGGGAAAAAAATATCCCATGACTCACAACTGCCTGGAAGCAAACATTTGTTGAATAAGAAGCTATTCTTTCTCTTCTTAAAAGTGAAGGTGGTGAGACGCTGGCCCAGGTTGCCCAGGGAGGCTGTGGCTGCCCCAACCCTGGCAGTGTTCACAGCCAGGTTGGATGAGCCTTGAGCAACCTGCTCTGGTGGGAGGTGTCCTTGCCCAGGGCAGGGGGTGGCACTAGATGATCTCAAAGCTCCATTCCAACCCCTTAACATTCTATGAAACTATGAACAAAACGAATCCAGGACACTAACCACTGATCTGCACAGACAAACAAACACTGTCACAAGTCAGTGTGGTGAAAGCAAGCAGTCAGTTTTCCTGTGCTACAAACTTTACTCCTTTTCCGCATTTTACATGAAAAACAGAGTTACACTTCTGAAAGGCTTGTCCAAAGCAGAAGCAGTGTGGACACATCTCAGATTGCTTCCTGTCTTTATAGCCTCCAGCAATCACCACCTCAACAAATGAGCTCAGTAAACGCTTAGGATCAGTTGAGAACTAAAAAGAGTTGGGCCAAGATTGACAGTAAATAAGAGTCCAGTGGTGACACATGAAAAGGAGCCTCAAAAATATCATGGAATACTAAGCAAAAGAAAAAATTGAGAACTCCAGAGGAGACTTATTGCTATGAAGATATCTTTCCAATGAAAAAACGCTCTTTCCTTCCCAATTAGCATGTCTAGAAAGACTCCCTGCTAACTCTCTGCCAATGCTTGTACAGTACAGTCACACTCATCACTGTGTGCAAGATTACACATACACACTGGGACAAATCCAGCCCTGGATGCTCAGGATGAGTGGAGCCTGCAGACACAGCACACATCAGCAAACAACTATTAACTCAGAGCTCAAGTAATTAAGGAGAGATTTAACCAACAGTTTTCCATGGGGGAAATCCTGGCTCCAATCACATTTACAGCAAAACTCTCCTTGAGTTTTCCTAGTCAGGTAGGTTTTGCACAAGGAGGAGAAACCAAAGGAGGTGGCAGGTGAGATGCTTTGCTCAATGAGTCTATATTGCACTGCAGGTATGATTGTTAAACTTTGTATTTCTTTAGCTGAATGGGAAACCTCCAGCTACTGAGCTGACCCAGTGTTGCTACTTCTAGAAGCACATGCAGAGCAAGAGACTGCAATTTCTAGTGCTGCAAGCGTGGGGATGCGAGGAGAAGAATAAAGAACAAGATTTGTAATGGGATGTCTTATAAGATAAAGAGCAAGGGATTTAGATACCTGCAAGTACAGAAGAATGAGGCACCAGCAGATGAAATACACAACACGTTTTATCAAGATCTCCAGGGTATTACAGATTTATCAGCAGTTATATTACAGAGGCACAGGCACACCCAGGAAACCCAGTCAATCAGGGCTCCAGCTGGCTTCCACACAGCGTGGCGTGATAAAGATCCCACTCAACTCCCTAAGTACTGGAAATCGATCCTGATTAGGGCACAGGAGAGCACAGGGACAGGCAGCACTGCCCGAGTCGCCACAGGGACTCAACCACAGAGTCATTATGGTTAGAAAAGACCTCTGAGATCATCGAGTCCAACCTGTGACCTAACGTGACCATGTCAACTAGACCATGGCACTAAGGGCCACATCTAGTCTCTCCTTAAACACCTCCAGGGATGGTGACTCCACCACCTCCCTGGGCAGCACATTCCAGGGTCTGATCACTCTTTCTGGGAAGAAATTCTTTCTAATGTCTAACCCAAACCTCTCCTGGTGCAGCTGAAGACTATGTCCTCTTGTCCTGGTCAACTCAGCAGGGTCCAGATAGCTGTGGACATCCCAGGGTTGCCTCTTGCTCCCCGTATGGGGTCATCCACAGGCTTAGCATGGGACAAATCCACTCCATTTCCAACATGACTGCTCACACCACTCCTAGAATCTTAGAATCATCAAGGTTGGAGGAAATCTCTCAGATCATTAAGTCCAACCATTAACCTGTCACTGCTGTAAACCTAAACCACATCTTCCAGTGCCAGGTCCAGATGTCTCTTAAACACCTCCAGGAATGGTGACTCCACCACCACCCTGGGCAATATTCCAGTGCCCACAGGCAGGAATAGGGGAACTTGAACTTCACATGTGTGAAGGGAGAGCAGCTTCTGCCTTTTTAGGGTGTCACAAAAGGCAAACTCACCTAAAAGCATCTCTGTTGCAAAGGAAACTTGTCAGATCCCTTCTCAGAGGGCACAGCAGAGTGGAGAGGGCAGCAGGGAGCAGATGGAAAGTCCAGTTACCCCCTCTAGCTCTGTGCCATGGACACTCTGTGGCCAGCACTGGCTCTGCACTGCCTGCCAGGGAGATGCCACAGCACACAGGTACTGAAGCAAAGCAAAAAGTCACAAAAGAGACTTCCAAGCCCCAAATTATCAGCAGACAGATGGGCACCAAACTAACACACCAACAAGTGGATAAGGAGGCATTTTCTAAGGCTGACCAGAGGAGGGATTTAAGCTCACTCCAGATCAAAACAATCACTTGGTCACTTAAACAATCCCTAAATCTAGACTTGGGGCACCCACCTGGGGCATCCACCTGGCTCCAGGCATGTCATGAGCACATGTAGAAGGGAGAGATGGAGATGAGGGGTTTAATCTGAGCCCTGAGCTGCCCCTCACGCTACACCAGCTCTTTGAACTGACCTTTACCTCGTTGTGCTGGAGCAGGAGACGACGCTGAGTGACAATGTCCCACAATGCAATTACCATGCGTCAGATGAGCCAGTCCCTTACAAATCACCTCGAACTTTACACATCTGCTGCCTGTCAGCATCTGCCAGGCTCACTCACCCGAAAATAATGAAAAAAACTCTCATTATTGTTCCATAACAGGTAAAGTGTTAGGACAATTATTAGACATCCTGACTGACCTTGTGCAGACTTAACCAACTGCCCTTGCCAACCTTTATGGGCAGCCTTTGGGCACATAAAACACAAAACCTGTTCTTTCAGATGATGGAAAGGTTGTGACACTAGGAGGAAAAGCAATGGTCCTGGAATCGAGGCAGGAAGACATCACTCCTTAAATTCACATCATCCTGCACACGGCAGAAGCAGCTAAGGATATGGTATAAGGCTAAATTTGAGACTTCCCATCTTTGGACAGACTCTTTTGAAGCAAAGATTTTTCCTAGCACAGGAGCAGGAGGAAAAGTCCTGCCCACAGCCAGCCGGTCCTGTGCAGATGGGCAGGGGGCAGAAAGCAAAACCCTGGAAGAGGCAACAAGCCTGAGGTGGAAACTGTCCAACTTCAAAGGGGTTTGGAAGTGCATTAGTTAGGAGATTTCCAGAATCGGCCTTTTATCCTGCTTTTGGGGTTTTTTTTTCCCAGAGTGTTTGGAGTTTTTGTTAAGTTAAAAGAAAGCATGCTAACAGTGCTTAATAATGCATATAGTCAGGCCATGTAGGAAGAAAATTAGAGAGACAAAGGCATGAAATAAATTAAATCTGGCCACTTCTGTCAGGGATAGCAAAAGGTGCTTCTATAAATACATCAATAGCAAAAGGAAGGGCAAGGAAAACCTTCATTCCTTGTTGGACACGGGAGGGAACAGAGGGACCCAAGATGAGGAAAAGGCTGAGGCACTTAACACCTTCTTTGCCTCAGTTTTTAATAGTAGGACAGATTGTCCTCA